GAAGTGTGGTGCCCTGGGACAGCTATGACAGACATTCTCAAGAGGAATCAGTGGAGGGGTGGAGAGGGATGAGAGAATTGGGGAAGGGAACTGAGTTAATGTGTCAGGAACTTCCACCCTCTTGATTTTAGAAAGACAGGAAGGGAGAACTGAATCCAATGTTTACAAAGCATTTTAGAAGAAAACAACCACTTTCTAGAAAAAAATATTTTTATTAATTTTATCCTAATATGCACAGTATTCTACTACTCCTGCTAGTGAGGCAGCTGGTGGTGCAGTGCATAGGGTGCTGGGCCTAGAGTCAGGAAAACATAAGTTCAAATTGGGACTTAGATACTCACTAGCTATGTGACCTTTGGCAAGTCACTTAATGGATGCTTGCCTCAGTTTCCTCACCTGCAAAATAAGGATAATAATAACACCTACCTTGAAGGGTTAATGTGAGGATCAGATATTTGTAAAAGCATTTACCACAACTGCTGGACATAGTGGGCACTAGATTAATACTTACTCCCCTCCTCTACTATTTGCAAAAATTATCAACAAATTTTAAATTATTTTCAAGGAAATATATTGCTTCTTATGGTGTTAGGAGGCTTAACAAGCACACTCTGGATATAAATGCATATGGCAGACCGTCCTGTTTCTTGTCAATCAAAAAAGGTAGTTTGTTGTATGACAAGTTCCCATCTTTGATATTACTTTGATTTATTTACCTAAAATTATTCTTTCTCTAACCAACTACAGAATATGAAAAAAGAGTTGGTTATAATTAGAGAGAAAATTAGTTAATTCTAATCTCATGTCTGCCTATATTGTTTTGTTTCTACTTTCACTTAAATTGTGGGCAAGAACAGTATTTAGAAATTCTAGTGTTTTCATTTGTTCAATAAAAATAGGCAGAATGAAATAGTCAGGTAAAGATTACATTTTAAATGAAGGGCTAGGAATCTCTTCTATCATCACTGATCAAATTCTGAGTAAAAGTCAACTAATCCACTAAATTTTTGCTCTGACATAACACTGTGCTTAAGCAAATCCTAATGAAGTAATACGCAGTCTTTCCTAACCTCATTTAAAACATAGTTTAATACAATTTCACTGTTAATTATATATTAGAGAAATTATATGGAGAGAAGTCTTTAAATCTCCTACATAATATTATGTACTACTTAATTTTCTTTTATTAACTTTCTGACAGATCAGATGATGATAATTTTTGCTATTTATGGCACAGAGGGGTCTAATAATTTTGTTTAAAGATTACTTATAAAGAATTAGGTAATTCTTGGGGTAGAAGTGAGAAGCAATTTAAAAGAATCATTAATAAGATCACAAATTCACTTACAAATTAATATCTATCAGATTATTTCATTAAACATAAAAGTAAAATGTTACATAGTCAAATGTAATCTCCTATAGTTGTTATGGGTGAGATATATTAGTACCGCAAAAAATGCATTTAGCCTACTGTTTCTGTATGGTTACGGCTGGCACTATGTGTAGACAAAATAGGCCAATATGTATAAACTGTAGTGCTGCACCTAACACTCTGGGTTCAGACCAACTGGGTTTATTCTAGGGGGATTCCCAGGAATTAGGTTTTTGTTTGCATCTCGACTCAAGATTTCCCTTGGGTTCAGAACCTACTTCTGATACTAGCTAGGTGATCATAGGCAAGTCAGAACTTTTCTCAACCTCAGTTTTTTCATCTTTAAAATGAGAATAGTAAGACCTACGATACAAATTTTATTAGGGTTTTGTGAGGCTTAACTCAGATTATGCCAATAAAAGTGTTTGCAAGCTCTGAAGCACAATATACATATTGATTATCATTAAAGTCTTATCTCTTCCATCTCTACACATTTAAAAATGAGTTTTATTGGTATTATTTATTTTTACATTGAAGTCACATCAAGATATTATGCTTCTGGACCTTTCTTGAGGAAAAGAAACACAAATGGGGCAGCTAGGTGGTGCAGTGGATGGAGCACTGGTCCTGGAGTCAAGAGGACCCGAGTTCAAATGTGGCCTCAGAAGCTTACTAGCTGTGTGACCTGAATGCCTTAAAACACACACACTGAAGCAAAATGAACACAAGGATTGCATCTGACAGTATGTGAAATAGTACACAACTCTATTAGACATTTATTTACATTATTGTAGTCATTGTGTGTACTATTCATCTAGTTTTTGCTACTTCATTCTGAATCAGTTCATTCTGTTCTTGCCAGGTAGGTGGCTTAATGGATGGAACACTGGTCCTGGAGCCAGCAAGCTCCAAGTTCAGCTCCCACTTCTGAAACATTATATTTGGGGAAGTCAATTAAACATTTGTTTACCTCAGTTTCTTTCTCTGTAAAGTGAGGGTAATAGTACAATGATTAAGTGACTTTTCTCATGTAATTCTAAATTATTTTCTAAGTCAGACCAATTCATCGATACTAAGTCTTATTTTTCCAAGCTCTTCCAATTATTTCTGTCTTTTGTCATCTTTGCCAATTTGCTGGGTTTGGGGTGAAACCTTAAAGTTATTCTAACCTGCTTTGGTTGTCAGTAGCTTGCAAATGCTTATTTTGAAAGCTATCCATATCCTCTGCTTAGTTTTTGGAGGTCTTATATATTTATATCAGTATCCAATAGAGTTGTCATCCCTCCAGTTCCAACTAAAATCCTACTTTCTAGAGGAAGCCCTTCCCAACCCTCTTAACTCTACTACCTTTCCTCTGTTCATTATTTCCTATTTCTCCTGTATATACCTTGCTTGTACATATTTGTTCACTTTTTTGTTTTCCCATTAGATTATGAGCTCCTTGAAAGCAGGTACTGTCTTTTTGCCTTTCTTTGTATCCCCAGAAATGCCCATATAAAGTGAGAACACTACCACACTTTGGATTCTATTTTTCTTAGAACAAATCACTAAGTATGCTGGAATTTCCCCACTTACTAAAATTTTTATTTATGGTTTGGTGGACTGTTATGAAAACAACTAAATTATGTCTTTATAGATCTTTGAACTCTGAAATAGTAAGAGCTACAGATAAAATGATGTAAATTATGATGTCAGTCTGCATGCTCTAGCTATGAGGCTGGGAACACCTTGCGATATTGTAAAATTAAAACAGAGGTAAAAAATTTGTATTGGGGGCCATGCTTATATATGCACTTTTACACTTTTTACATCTCCTTCATTTACAAATATGTTCCTTTCCCAGAGAGCCCTCTCTTGAAACAGAACAAAAAAGCAGCTCTTCACAGCTAACCAACCCATCAATAGAATCTGGCGCTATATGCAATTTTTGCTTTTCTTTCTATCCCCAGAGCTTAGCAAAGTATCTGATACACTACAGGCACTTCATAACTACTTGTTGACTGACTGACTGTCATATCACCCATAGTCTTTCCCTTCCTCAAAGAAGAGAAGGTGCATGTTCTCATCGCCTCTTGGTACCAAACATAACTATTACAATCACACAGGGTACAATTTCATCCTACCCCTCCATTTACATTGATGTGAGTATTGTTTCTCTGGTTCTGCTTACTCTGCTGCTTTTTTTCAAATCGCTGTAGGTCTTCCTGTGCTTCTTTGAATTCTTCATCGTCATTGTGTCTTATGGAGCAGTAATATTCTATTACATTCTTGTACTCTAATTTGCCTAACTAATGGGCCTTGTTTCTAGTTCTTTGTTAGTAACCACAAAAAGTCGTGCCTATATTTAAGAAAAAAATCATTTGAGGCTAATTAATAAAGGTTTAAATAATCAGTTAACAACTAGTATGCTAGGTTTTTAAGCCAGTTAAAAAAAATCCCCAATGAACTTTTGGAAATGGCCCACTCTCTAGGAGGCAGCTGATATGACTGTTCGAGAACCAGAAGGGTGTTGGGGGAGGAAGATTTGATAGCCAGCTTGGGCACTAAGGGAAGGAAAACTTCCAGAGGGGCAGGAGGTGTAAGCCTGGCAAGTGGAGGAAGCAAAGGTGAGAAGATTTCATTATATCCGCATTTGTCAGCGTCCTTCCCAGCTCTCGGGGAAGAGAGGGAAGAGAGGTGGAGTAGGAGCCACCCAAAAGACAGAAGGAAGGAAGGAGGGGACAAGCGAACAGCAGGAGGAGGAGCTGTAGCGGCTGGAGGAGGAGCAGCAGCAGCAGCAGCGGCAGCAGGAACAGCAGCAGCTGCGGACAGGCCACGTTTTGTTTTGTTATTTTCCATAGGAGTAGTTTCTTCGTCCTGGCTGTCCTGGCTGGAGGACTGTCATCGCTGCAGTCCGCCTAGCCTAGCCCAGCCCCCGACCTTTTCAGGTGACAGCGGGTCACCTCGAAGGAGGCGGCTCCATTCCAGCCCACTCCAACCCCTACCCCTGCCCAGTCCTCTTTCGCACACAACCCACCCCGCCCCGCTTTCCAGTCCTCCTCTCTCTCTCTCTCTCTCTCTCTCTCTCTCAGGCTAGCACGCTTGGATGAGGGGAGAGCGCGGTGGAGGCTGCAGGAAAGGAGCAGCGGCCTCGGCGGCGGCAGCGGCGCCGAGAGCCGCAGCAGCAGCAGCTGGGTATCTAGGACCACGAGGTGGCCCCTGGCCCGCGGCGATCGTGACCGTGGGGGCGAGTCCTTCGGCGCCTAGGACGAAATTGCTTTCTGACGGAGCAGCCGAGCTAAAGGGAAGCGGAGGCATTTGAACCAGGGCGCAAGGGAGAGATGCAGCTTTGACCCTGCGTGCCCGTCCAGCCGCGAGGCGCCCACCCTCCTACCGGTGCCCACCGAACCCTTCGCCTGGCCGAGGCGCCCAGCGGTACCTGGCGCTGAGACGCTGCTAGCTAACCGGGCTGGGTCAGTCGGGGAGGGGACACTACAGCTGCTTGAGTTTGGGACTGGGCTGTGACTTGGAGGGGTAGCCCCGGCCCGAAGGAGAAGTGCGGACGCGGGTTGGCGCAGTTTCGTCCGCGGCGGCCCCTTCTCTTCACTGTCGCGGCCGGGCTTGGCCAAATCTCTCCTTCGAGTTCTTCGCCAGGGAAAGAGTTATGGAAGCGCTGAGCTGCATCCAGGACGAGCCTTTCGTCCACCCCCTAGGACTCGAGCCTGAGCCTGAACCGGAGCTAGCTCCGTTTGCAGCAGCAGCTGCTGCAGGGGGGGCCCCGTCCCAGCCCGGGCCGGGCAAGCCCGGGGAGAAGCGCTTCAGGCTCTGGTACGTGGGTTCGTCGTGCCTGGACCGGAGGACCACGCTGCCCATGCTGCCCTGGCTGATGGCGGAGATCCGCCGTCGGAGCCAGAAGCCCGAGCCTGGCACTGCCCGCGAGGTGCTCCTGCTGCTGAGCTCACCATACCTCCGCTGCGTCCCCGCCCCTCGGGTGGCAGCGGGGATACGGGGGGTAGCACTTCAGCCCCCGGCCCGCTGCCCAACCCGTCCGTCTTCATCTTCGAGCACAAGGCGCAACACATCTCCCGCTTCATTCACAACAGCCACGACCTCACCTACTTTGCCTACTTGATTAAAGCCCAGCCCGATAATCCCGAGTCCCGGATGGCCTGTCACGTTTTTCGGGCCACCGACCCCAACCAGGCAAGTGTCCCTGACCGCCGGGGGCAGGGGCGACTTGGGCATGGATGTGGGGGGCGAAGGAAGAAAAAAAAAACCCGAATCCGGCCAGAGCTTCCTAGGGTCGTGCTGCTGCATTTGGGGGGAGGCAAACGGAGGCTTTGGGAACGTTCTCTCGCACCTCTCAGCCCTTCTTCTCCCTCTGCTAATGAGAGAGACTCTTTTGGGGGGTGGGTACGACCTTTCTGGAGGCAGTGAAGTGGGAATAAAAGAAGCGCTTCTAACAAGGACGGGGGGGGCAGGGAAAAGGCGTCTCAAGAAGCAGAACGAAGGGGTTGCTTGCGCCAAGGGAGGGAGCTCACTCAAGCTGGACAGTTTGACCGTGGGCTTCTTGAGAGCAAGGACTTCTTTCTATTCCCAACGCCTGAGGTCTTTGATGACTGACTGACTGACGGTCCAGGGGGAGAAGTAACGTGGATTACACCGGACTGGCGGGATTGGAAGATGGAATTTAAAATGGGTCACGTGCAGCTTTTAAATGTTTTTTAAGAGGAATAGGATGGAGAGGGGGGTGCGGCTTTGGTTGGGGTACCCTTCCTGGTCAACACCTTCTTTGGGTTTTTCACTTCTAAGGCCAGTCGAGGCCAACATGAACAGCCCAGCAGCAACTTATTGTTGAGTTGGTAGTATTACCGGTGAATGGAACAAAGATTTCTCCAAGTACATATCTGCTACTGTTTATTAAATTGAATTGAAATGTCCTGATGGAGAAAAGGCCCAGCTATTTCTAAGTGACGAGAATGAAATACAATGTTTGGAGGCAGGTGTTTCGGAAGCGATTTATGGTACTCTGCAATAAAACTTCAATCTGGCAACTTTTTTTTTGAGCCTAGGATGTAGAAAACTTCCAGTGACGAAACTCCCTCTGCTGATGGAGATCCACCCTCTACTTATTAAGTTAAGAGAGTTGTCCTAGGGCATTGAGTGGTTTAGGGAAAGGATTTATATAGCACGTAGTATGTTCCAGGCACTATGTTCCAGCAACCCTACCAGGTAGGTGCTATTATTATTCCCATTTTACAGTTGAGGAAAATGAGGCAAATAGAGGTTAATAGACTTTCCCAGGGTCACAGCTATTAAGTGTCTAAAGCTGACTTTGAACTCAGGTCTTCCTGACTCCAGGCCCAGGGCTCTATCCATTGACAGCCATCTGCCTCCAAAGTTCAGTGACTTTGCCTGTGGTCCACAACTAGCATTCGTCAGATGCACAATTGGAGCTGATCTTCCTTATTTCAAAGTTTGCTCTTATTCACTTTGCCACAGCATCGTCTTACAATGGCCATTTTTTTTTGCTAAAACACGTTTTCATAAAGCTATTTATAACAAGTTTTATAGAACATAGTAAGGACTGAATATATGGTTGAAAACAAATCAGTTATTTAGTACCAGCAAACCTTTGGAGGAACAGTGTTATTTACATATACATAAGTAAGCAAACCAACCAGCCAACATAAATAAATAAATAATAAATAAATAATAAAGCTGTTCCGCTGTTTGTCCAGTTAGTTCTGAAATGAGAACATCCTGTTTTAAGTGAAGGCTGTTTGTTTCGTTCTGATTTAATACCCCTCTTGAAGACTGCTTGAATTACAGAGGTTTCTATAAAAGACATGTATGTGTGCATAAACAAACAAAAACATAAATTGCCTTAAGTTTAAAAGAAGCAACTTTGCCTTCATTCTTTGGGCAAACATTTATTAAGTGCCTCTTGTTTTGGGAGTACTAATCTAGGTATGGGAGGTAAGGGGAGGTGGTTAGAAAATTTAGATAAGATGCCCTTATTATAATAATTGATTCTTAGGTAGTATTTTATATACATTTTCCACTCTATCGAGACAATAAATCTAAGAGGGGTAGGTGCTAAAGGTACCTATGGTACCCTTGTTTTATAGATTGGGACACTGAGGCTGAAGAGGGTAAATAACTTACTCATGTTTAGGATCAAGGAACTGAACCCAATTCTTGTTGACTCAAATCAGTACTTTAGAGTGACTTTCCTATGGAGTGTATGGTCTAGTAGAGGTTGACACGAATGTATAAAATAATCATAATATATAATATTTTATGGTAAATGCCTTAAAGGCACAAAGTGTGTTAAACAGTTTAATATCCTGATTAGGCATGTAGAAATTTCAAATCAATGTGGGAGGAGTACCTTTTTGCAGATGAATATTCTGTGATTATTATCAAGTTTACAGCTGGTATTTTGTTAATTTAATGTGATTTATTTTTTGTTTTGTTTTTACTCTTGGTAGAAATTATCAGACCAAAGTATGATGTCTAATATATTGTTGCTATTTTCAGTAACAATGAAAATTTACTTTGTATTATTGGTTATGGCTACCTAGGTTCTGTTTCCACTAATTTTTCTATAATAGTAGCCAGTAGTATAAGTGACGTATTAGTGGATGGTCAATTATTTTTCATTATGTTGAACCAACCCTTCATTCCTCATATAAGCCTAAACTGGTCATTGTGTGTGATCTTTCTAATATGTTGTTGTAGTTAGTTGCTAATATTTTATGTAAAATTTTTGAATCATCATTCATTAGGAATGTTGTTCTGTAGTTTTCTTTCTCTGCTTTGTTTCCTCCCTTTACAATTTAGGTGCTAGAACTTTAATGTACATTTATTTTCCAAGTAATGTTATATTACCTTTTCCCTTTGAATTCACTGGGTCAGTAACCCTTTTGAATTGGGAAGGGTATAAGAGGAAGACAAATCATATTTCATTTCATGTCAGTGGCATTTGCAACCTTGGGGCCAGGGCTTTGGGTAAAACTACAAATATAAGATACTCTCATTAGATTGTAAACTCCTTGACGGCAGGGACTGTCTTTTGCTTCTTTTTGTATCCTGGTTCTTAGCACAGTGACTGGATCGTAGTAGGCACTTAATAAATGTTTATTGATTATTGAATGAGATGCATATTACTTGAATTAAATTGATAAGAATCCTTGTCCTGAGGATCAGTTAATGGAACAGTGGATATTCACCCTGGAGAAGAGAAGACTTATGTAATAGATGTCTTAAAAAAACCCCCAAACTTAAGGGTTGTCATATGGGAGGACTACATTTATTCTCTGTGTTTTCTGAGGGAAGAAATGGGGCCAATGGGTAGTAGTTACAGGAACTGTATTAGGAGTAATCTACTTACAGAACTATCCAAAAATGGAATGGGCTTTCTGGTGAGATAAGGAGTTTCCCATCGCAGAAATATTCAACAATGGATAGAGATGACCTCTTGTCATGGCTGGTGTGTAGATGAGGGTTCATGTTTTTGGTTGAGATTAGACTAGGCAAATGAAGAATTCCTTTTCTCCTCTCGGATTCTAGATTAAGTGAATACACTCTTCTCCCAAGTTCCCTTGTACTTAGTAAAGCGCCTTTTACATAGAAAGTACTTAATATTTGTTGACTAAAAGAAAATCATTCTGAGCTTTTGGTGAGGTACAACCTCTTTAAACTCTAGCTGATTCATTGTAAAGGTTCCTTCCAAGCACTAAGGTTTTACTGATTTCTGTGAACTCCTGGGGATAGGGTTTGGGGTGGTCTTCACTATAGTTAATGCAAAAGAACATTAATCAGCCACCTTTAGAAGTAGGGAGGCCTGGAGGCCTCAGAGGAGATTCTTATTATAGATTGAACTAAAGACCACCTGAGGTTCCTTCCAACTCAAATTCTTCAAGAAAATTCAGGCCAAATGAGGACTTGTAAGGGGTGTTTTAGAGAAGATTGATTCATTCGTCAGTGGGTTGGAGTGGGGATTGGACCAGATAACAAATGAGACTCATTTTAACTCAGGGATTTTATGATCTAGAATGACAAAGCAGAGTTTCTTCTAATATGTAGAGTGGTGGTCACTATGAAAGAGCAAAATATATTCTTGAAGGTTCTGACCATATCCCATTTTGGTGGTGTATTATAGGAGTTAAGCTAGGATAGGGAGAGAATTGAAGTTATTCTAAAGGTATTATAAACAACATTTATTAATATCTAGTTCACAGATATAGTTTATTGATCAAAATAAGCAACATCTAAAAAAATAACAATAACCTTTTCTAGCATTGAAAATTGTGATGATACACACTCTTTTGGACTAAAGAGGCAAGAAAGCCTCCCCTTTGCCTCCCTTTTGTGTTTTTACTTCAATTAAGAATATGAAGAACAAAAAAAGAAAAGAAAAGAAACTGTTTCTGGCCTCAAAGAGCTTACATGCTGCTGTTTTCCCTCTTTCACAGAGTTTTTAATGAGGCAGTCTCTTGCAAAGCCCTGTAGCAATGGGGTGTTATTATTTAATTATTATTTTTCCAAGTGAGTTTTGTGCTTTATATATAATCACCATTGCAAAGACAATGTGGTTTTTCCTATACAGTGGGCTTCATTGCTATTAAGGAAAATGTCATACAGAAGCATTCAGCCAGGGGCTTGGGAGAACTTTTCATGCTGCTATCTTTCTTCATAGCCCTATTCTCTTTATTTGATAGGGCTGCCCAGGCAAGTTTGCAGTGTATACAGGGCTGCTGTCCTAAAGGATGACCAGGCTCTTAAAGTTTCTGCCTACAGGAAGTGACAATGTCTGTGCAGAAATAACAATTCTATTAAAATTATTTTCTTTTATGGAAATGCGACCTCTGGGATAGAAGAAACACTTGAGTATCTTGGAGTGTTTTGATAGAAGTGCCATAGTAATGTGTTCTCTGGGAATAGGAAGATAGTCCACGGACCTCCATGAAAAAAAGAATCATAGCATTATTTTAAATAAAGTTTGTTTTCCAAGGTCACACAGAAATAAGTAGGAATCAAGTCATGATCCTCTAATTCCAAATCTAGCACTCTTTCCATTATACCGTAATGACTCACTTTATGCTGCCAACCTAGATAATTCAAATGGACAGGCTTTTTTTTCACAAACAGCAGTAATTCATTTTATTTGATTGACTGATATTATTTCAATTTTTTTT